TTTTTGTATGAAGTGTTCCAATAGTCTATATACCCCAATGCAGCAATGGAATCTTCCAACGCCTTCTGCTGTTGGAACATGTAGAGTCCTGTAGAATCTGACATCCAAACATCATGTTTTACAGGTTGGTGGGGGGGAGGAAGCTGTGGTCCTGGAGCTGGAAAACAACATTCAAACTGCAGGTAAGTCTAATGTGTATCTCTGAGTGTCACTTCCTTTAAGGAAGTTCTACCCCAGATTTAACCACTGGAAAAGATCAACAAGAGTCTCGCGAGATCAGTCCATTGTGACGTAAGTGGGAATCATTAATATATTTTCACTCTCGCCTAAGGTACAGTGATCGGGTGCCTTAACCTCTGTCACAGGCTCACTTTCTCAAACCCCTTCATCCCTATCCCCCAGTCCTTAACGGGAGGGGGCCTAAGTCTGGCAACTGTTCTACGTGTTGACGCATACTAGTATCTTTTGTTACTGTTCATCTGACCCGTAACCCATCAAAAATAAGGTTAGATCTGGAAACAGCAGTGAGTATATCCGAGATTGAAGTACATGAGAGTCACCGCAGATTTTTGACTATCGTTTCCGTGGAACGTTCCAACACAAAAAGGGGGTCCAAACTCCAGCATACGTAACAACCAAGTCATTGCTGTGCATATTTTAGCACCCCATGCAAACAGAATAACACTGTAACTTTGTACTTTTCAGTCCCAAATATGAGTGATATTTTCTAGTACGCCACTTTTTCCTATGCGTTTAGATACAAGTCAGTTTGAAAAATGGGTTCCACAGGTATGTGTGAAACACTTCCTTGGACAATGGTAACTATAGTCATACAAAGGCACGTATTTCACACTTTGTAGCTGAGGTGTCATGAATGTACCTTGTAAGTGTTAAAATGGGGTAATTATGTTTATGAAGGAAAACATTGTTTTTGCTACATTTCCTCTTCTTCTTCTCCAAACACTGAATCAGACCATCTGTCACCATGGTAACTGGTGATGGGTTACAAACTAAACTCATTTTGTGAGAAATGGAACATTCATGGTAAACCTGAAGAAAACCAAAGTGATGATTTTCAACAAAACAGGAAGAACATTCAAGAACACCAAATTTTCCTTCGGCGCAGAAATGATCCAAGTCACAAGCTCATATACCTACCTAGGTCTAATTATGTCATCGTCTGGCAGTTATTCTTTAGCCAAAAAACAATTATCTTTAAAAGCTCGTAAAGCAGTATTTAGTCTTAAACCCCTTATCCGCACCTCCTTGTCCCCCAAGGCCTTACTCAAACTCTTTGATGCGTGCATCAAATCTATAATGTTATACGCCTGTGAGATCTGGGGTAAAGGTTACTCAAATGACAATTGTCCCGTAGAGATAACTCAGAACTGCTTCTGTAAAAATATCCTTGGAGTGCCCAGGAATTCTAGTAACCTAGCAAGTAGGGCAGAACTTGGGTTGTTCCCAACAGATATAGATGTATCCGTCCGTGTAGTTAAATACTGGTTAAGACTCAAACAACTGGACACTTTCACACACCCCGTACAAGTAGATGCATTACTCTGTCAGCAACACAATATGGGAAATAGCGGTAAGAAAAGCTGGCTACACCATGTCAAAGAAATAATTAACAATGCAGGCTACTCTTTTTTATGGAACACCAACCACTGTACTTTAGACAACAAGAGTATATGTACATTGTTGAAGAGAAGACTAACTGATATGTATGTTCAAACGTTCTTTCACCAATTGTCTGTAGATAACGGCAAGCTAAGATTTTACAGGACCGTCAAATCCGAATACTCCATGGATAAATACCTAATAGTATAACACAATGAATTTGACGAGTGAGCTGCCATGTGTAAGATTAGAATAAGTGCGCATCCACTAGAGATAGAAAAAGGCCGCTATAGAAAACTACCTGTGCACGAGAGATTATGTAAATATTGGCCAATGAATGCAGTGGAAAATGAAATACATTTTGTTAGCCAGTGTCCTCACCATGGGACCGAACGAAACAGATTATTTCAGACAGTTACAACAATCTCTCCATCATTTCGTCATTTAGAAGATCACCAAAAGACTACGTTTCTACTAAGATCACAAAACCCACTAATTATGCAGAATGTGGGACTATTCATTATCCACTGCCTTCAAAGAAGAAGTCGAACCCCATAATAGTTAGCATAGTAGTAGAAGTAGAAGTTTTTCCAGACAGATTGTTACCTGTCTCCTGTTACTGTATTGCAACGAGTATTATACTTGATTGTACAAGCAATTAGCCTTTGGGCATGATTTTGCAACTAAAGTTTAATGTTGCAATTTTATAGCAGGAGAGATTTAGACTCCTCTCTGACCATTTATATGAATGTATTTGAGTAAGAATTAACAGTCTGAGAGCAGACCATATGCGAAGGTAAACATTATGCATTTGCTTTTCAAATGTCTAGTTTTCCTTTAAAATTTGTTCTGTTGCAAAACAAAATTGCATACTGTAATAGTTGTAGGTCAGAAGAGAACAATATAGATACGGGGTCTCCCACTCCACTCTATGGAGTGAGTAGCACCAAAAGGTGGTCATTACGCCAAATGAAGTTGGTAGTGTTAATTATACACTACATGTAATTGTTTCTGTAGGCATGAAGTTAGCTGGTCTGAAGTGCAGACGAGGAGGAAAGGTGGAGTGGGAGGCAGTCCTCAGCACCAGAGGAACCATGTTGGCAGGCAGCAGGTCAGTACAGCCTGTAGTCTAGATGTCTGTAGTAACTACAGGATGTGTGTGACTGCTGTGTTACTGTTACAGGAAGGTGGTGTGTGTATCATGTGAGGACAGGATGTGTGACTGCTGTGTTACTGTTACAGGAAGGTGGTGTGTGTGTCATGTGAGGACAGGATGTGTGTGACTGCTGTGTTACTGTTACAGGAAGGTGGTGTGTGTATCATGTGAGGACAGGATGTGTGTGACTGTGTTACTGTTACAGGAAGGTGGTGTGTGTATCACGTGAGGACAGGATGTGTGTGACTGCTGTGTTACTGTTACAGGAAGGTGGTGTGTGTATCATGTGAGGAAAGGATGTGTGTGACTACTGTGTTACTGTTACAGGAAGGTGGTGTGTGTATCATGTGAGGACAGGATGTGTGTGACTGTGTTACTGTTACAGGAAGGTGGTGTGTGTATCATGTGAGGACAGGATGTGTGTGACTGTGTTACTGTTACAGGAAGGTGATGTGTGTATCATGTGAGGAAAGGATGTGTGTGACTACTGTGTTACTGTTACAGGAAGGTGGTGTGTGTATCATGTGAGGACAGG